GGACGGTGATGTATACAATTTCCATACCTGGCGTTCTTTAAAGTAGTTAAAAAGTCTTTCCTCAGTTCTGACTTGGTGTAAGCTGCTTTAAAGGTAATCTGTACAATGGCTGCAATTGCTGCCCTACCAGTTGACAATGTTAGTTGTGAGAGTAATAAAATCAGATGAATGCGAGAACTTCTAATCTGTATGCTTCTCTCAGCAGAAATATAGGCTCTCATTGCTGATTTATTTATTTAGAGGTGCAGGGTGTGGGGCTGATCAGGGTTCTTTACTTAGTGAGTCCCTGACCTCGGACATAAGCTCAGTGAGTGAGTTCTCTCCTGTATATTTGCCCCATGTCAATGAATGAAAATTAGCATTCACAACAAATCGGTTATCACTGTTCCTATATGCTGTTTTATCCCTTTGATTTGACAAAAAAGCATTATCGGGTGTCATACTGGGTGAATGGTTGCTTGGATGATGTGCTTTCATTACGAAATTTGTTGGTTACATGTGACCTTTTTTTGCTCATATAGGTACAGGCTCACCTGCGACAGAGGCTGCTTCAGTTAGCCCACCCTGGCAAGAGATGTGGGGTGGAATCTCAGCACAAGTAAGTTAATCTCTGTACAGGATACTCTCCATACAAATACACATACTTTAGATCCAGGGTAGTCATGTGACATTTAAAGCAAACCTGTGCTTTGCAGAGCAAATCCCCTTCCCAGCAGCATATGCTCTACCTTTCCTCTCCTCTCCCACTGTTGTGTTATATGCTGCCAGGAGCAAAGAAAATACCTGTTAACTGGAAATGGAGAAGCATGTGATGCACTCTGTGACATTGCTGGACCAATCACCAAGCATAATGCCTTACCCATGGGGAGAGTATCCCCTGTGTAACATACAGCTTGAATGACACATGGCATGCCTATGGTAGCTACTGGGGAGAGGGGAAATAAAGGTGATCTGCATGGGTAAAGCACAGGTACACTTCAAAGTGTTTCTAAAGGCAGAATATTTTTGTCTTCTGTGAATTAAGGTAAAAAAAATTCTCCAGGCTCCCTTTATACTTTCCTGAGCCCGTGAACAGAGGCTGTCTCGGCTTTCTCCCTCCTCATTGGCTCAGAGACAGCAGCAGGAGCCTTTGGCTCTTGATGCTGTCAATCACAGCCAGTGAGGAGGGGGTAGGGCGCTCATGTACTGCGGAGCGAGTGTATGAGTGCCCCTATAGCAAGTTGTTGAAGTGCTGATGGTGGGTCGAGTGTTACCCATTAGACAATTGTGTGGCCTGGTAATCTGTGGAGAGGGTAAAGTCGATCCAGTAGAACCAACCTGGCTGATTTAAAGGCTACACAGCCTTAGGGGGAAAAAAAAAGGAGAATTCATGTCTTATGCTCAGCAGTATAATCTAATTGCAAACACATGTAACATAGTGCTCTGTCTTCTACTGTTGACATTTATATAAAGCTGTATTAAGCTGGCCATACACTGGTAGATTTTTGAATGAACATTCATACAAACCTTTTGTATGAAAATTCCTATGAAAGTTCTTCGTACATTCTACGGCTTAAACGCACTTCAAAATTCTGTGTGTTTTTAAAGCGGAACTAAAGTTCCACTGTAACAAATAGCAAGCAGACAGGCTTTTATAGCAGAAGAGTCGTGCAATGTCTCTCCTGCAATAAAATACCCCCACCTGCTTGCTCGCTGTCTACTTGTGTGCAACTCGGCTTACAGCATTGAGCCGGTCTCTGTGTGCTGGAATGATTGTCAACCCATGCTGGTCAATGAAGATGGCTGAAGACTGGCACACAGCAGAAGGTGTGTGCTGGAATCACATGCGCAGGAGTGATGTCATCCCGTGCTGGCCAATGAAGATGGCTGAAGACTGGCTTGCGGGAGAAAGTGTGTGCTGGAATGACGTGCAGGAGTGATTGTCATCCCGTGCTGGTCAATGAAGATGGCTGAAGACTGGCACACAGCAGAAGGTGTGTGCTGGAATTGCATGCGCAGGAGTGATGTCATCCTGTGCTGGCCAATGAAGATGGCTGAGGAATGGCACACAGGAGAAGGTGTGTGCTGGAATCACATGCGCAGGAGTGATTGTCATCCCGTGCTGGCCAATGAAGATGGCTGAAGACTGGCACGCAGGAGAAGGTGTGTGCTGGAATCACATGCGCAGGAGTGATGTCATCCTGTGCTGGGCAATGAAGATGGGCGAAGACTGGCACACAGGAGAAGGTGTGTGCTGGAATCACATGCGCAGGAGTGATGTCATCCTGTGCTAGGCAATGAAGATGGGCGAAGACTGGCACGCAGAAGGAGGGTGTGTGTGCTGGAATCACATACGCAGGAGTGATGTCACCCCATGCTGGCCAATGAAGATGGCTGAGGAATGGCACACAGGAGAAGGTGTGTGCTGGAATTGCATGCACAGGAGTGATGTCATTCCGTGCTGGCCAATGAAGATGGCCAAAGAATGGCACACAGGGGAAGGTGCCAGTGCTGGCAAGGGACCGTTGGAAAAGCAAGTATTAACCAATTTAGTTGACTACGTTCACACGTTCTTAAAATTAAAAACATTTTTACAAATTCTACCAGTGTAAATCCAGCTTTAGGCATGATGGCCGATAGATGTCATTCACTGCTGACTAGGTTTAAAGTGGAAGTAAAGGCAAATCCTATCTAAACCTGCTCTCAGCCACATTCTAAAACTAATGTATCTTGGCCTGTAAAGAAAAATCGCTATACTTACCTGTTCTGCAGCCGCTCCAGTCTGGTCTCCAGCAGCACCCTCTGTGTGCAGGAGAAAGCCGACAACGGCTGGGAAGTGATGTCACCCCTAGAATTTCTGTGGGGCTTCCGTTGTCAGCTGCCTTTCCTGCACACTCCTACACACTGAAGCTGCCACTGACAGTTCAGCGTGGGACCAGTGATGTATTCTTTTCTTGTGCTGCCCTAGGCAACCCAAGAATCGTGCGCCACCCCCCTGAAAATTGTTGCCAAAGGAAAATGTCTTGCAGTAAATACGCCGCTGCTTGGAAGAAGGAGAGGAGAGCGCTGAGGAGGGACTCCAGAAGAGGAGGTAAGTTACTGCTCTGTGTATTATCAATGCACAGTAGGCAAGTATACCAATTTTTTTAAATTTTATAAAAAAAAAATATCCTTTACAATCACTTTTAAGAATAAGAGGCAATTTATTCTTGTATTGACGGCAGCCCTGTTTTTCAGTCTAGGTTTCCTAGGTCTGGTATGATCTCCAATGGGCATACTGGGACTTATAGTTCTAGGAGTGTGCCAGCCCCTCTCGGCAGAAGTGTGGGACGTACAGGCTGGTCTCTGTAGGCAGCCAGGCTCAGACATCCCTGTTAAAGCAGGTTCTGAGGAGCCACCCACTGGGACAGCCCAGGCTCATTCCTTGTCAGCTGCCTTTCTGGACCACCTCCTCCACCTGCCAAACAACTCTCCCCCACCAACAACCGATAATCCGCCACCACCTGTTCCACTAAATCTAACAAGAACTTATCGGCACAAGACTCAGCCAGCTGTTCATGCAGCGCACAGCCTTCTCAGCAGGTCCCCGTCCCTCCTGGCACTTATCGTGGGTAGGGGCAGCGCCAACCCCCTGAGAATCGCCGCCACAAGCAAATGCCTTGTTTGCCTCACGATAAATACGCAGCGGCACGGTACTGAACCAGAGCTGGTGCAGAAAGAGCTGAGTATTAGTGATTTTTTTTTTCCCCTAAAGGGATCGATAGATTAGGATTAGAATATCGCTGAGAGTAGGTTTAGAGTTAGTTAGGATTTGCCTTTACTTCTACTTTAACTGCAGGGATGTGCTTACTCTCTGTGACTCCTCACTTGCACTGACCAATGCAAAGCAAAATGAAAATGGGAAGACAAAAGATATGACTTTTTTTTTCTATTTTTAGGATAGAATACCTCAGATAATTATTAGGGTTCATTTAGATCTACAATAAGTGGGGGCATTTTTCTGTAGCGTTAGGCAGGTAAGTTGTCATACATCAATGTGCAATTCCTTTGTGCATTGACATGACTTCTGTGGGCCTCCTAACACACCAACCAGAAGCTGACCTGATTCGCACATTTGAGGTGGATGAGGGAATCCTCCCTGTTGTGTCTTTGTATTCTGTTAGAGGGGAGACTTCATTGCCATCAGAATACACTGATCAGTGTTGCAGACTATAACTTACACCGCTGATAAGCAGTAAAAATCCAACAGGGTGAACAGTTGAACGTTGGATTGTACAGTGCTATTCCATTGATCAAAATTTGTCTGGTGTCTGCTGAACTGGCTGAATTTTGATCTATGTGTGTCCAGATTAATACATGGTAAATATACGTATCTTATTTTTAGTTACGCATTGCACTGCAGTGCTGACATGGTAACCAGCATATTATTATTATTATTGGGAAGTTGGACTTGTGCGTTTTAGCCTACTGCTACTCATACATTAAAAGCACAACAGCAGCAATGGGCCCTTAAAATATGGGAAGAAAGCTGCCCAGCATGCCGTGGATATATAAAAACATATGTAACTGCAGACGAGAGTTCTACTGCAAAATAAGCCTGGAGGCACTACTATACTGAAAGTGAGAAAGGCTTTGCCAATGCAATATTCTCGCTGAAAATATGGATTCCATGTTCAGATATTTGTCAATACGATGATAATTAGATACAAGTGCCTTCCCTCTGCTGTGTGCTATAGCGACCAGTTTTCTTGAAATAATAAAGAAAAATCAGCTTTATTTTTTTTTCTTCTTCTCAAGGACACATTATCATTGATAACATGTAAGGATTTGGCCCTTCAAACCTATTGTGTCTTTGTGAGTTACAACATGAGTCAAACAGCTGTTTGCCTCTCACTCGGCTGCTGTCAGAAGTTAGACGGAGCCAGCTTCTCAGATGACTGCCTTTCAGCTAGTTTTTTTTTTTAATTCCTTCTTTCTGCTCTGTGCTATTCCAAGACTTTGAGAAGCTCAGCCTTTGTTATTATAATTTCAGGCACTTAGTGGAGCTTCTGAAGAGAACGGTGATTCATGGGGAGAGTAACTCTGTGCTGATCATTGGACCCAGGGGATCAGGGAAAAGTATGGTGAGTGTTCATTATTTTTTATATGAGCCAAGATACTGGTCCTGTGTAGAAGGATTTGTGTTGGCAGAATATAAAAACACTCTAATAAGGTTGCTGATGGGGTTAACATGCTTCTTATTAGTGCCCCTTTGTTACACTGTTTGCAAAGCTTTCCATACTTGCCAATCACTAGGCTGATCTTTTTTTTTTTTTTTTTTTCTACTCCAGCAGTGAGACAGTGTAAGGCAGGCAATAGATTGTGACTTTCTGTCTTGCAACTATGGGCTGCATGAAAGAAAATCGCTAGATTCCTCCATCAACACAGTCAGTGTTAATGGGGGAATTCCTCCCATGGAGCTATTGAGGTAGATTTACTAAAACTGGTGCACTCAGAATCTGGCGCAACTGTGCATAGTGCATATCAGCCTCAAACTTCAGCTTGTTCAATTAAATTTTGGCAATAAAACATGGATGCTGATTGGTTTCTATACAGACCTGCACCAGATTTTGCACTCCAGATTTAGTAAATAATCTCCATTGTGTACTTCCAGTGGGGGGGGGGGGGGTGACAGAGCCTTCCTGCCGGCAGAACACGGTAATTATTGCTAGTGGCTATAGCCACTGGCAATGAACGCGTCTTAAAAATCTGACATGCTGGTTGTAGCCAAGTCAATCGATGGATTGACTTGGATATAAGTTGCCTACCCATACATGCATCGAATCTTGGCTGGTCCCTGCTGAACCGACCAAGATTTGAACTATGGCTGGCTCTTAACTCATACTTAAGTATGGGGTAGAGAAGGGGTACTGTAAAAAGATAATGCAGTTCATACAAAGAAGTCATTTGGATATACATTGAAAAAGTATTCATACCCCTTTTGAAATTTTCTACATTTTGTCATGTTACAACCAAAAACGTAAATGTATTTTATTGGGATTGTATTTGATAGACCAACACAAAGTTGCACATAATTGTGAAGTGGAAGGAAAATGATAAATGGTTTTTTCAAAATTTTTTTAATACAAATAAATATTTATAAAAGTGTGGCGTGCATTTGTTTTCAGCCCCCTTTACTCTGATACCTCTAACTAAAATCTAGTGGAACCAATTGCCTTTAGAAGTCCCCTAATTGGCAAATGAAGTCCACCTGTGTGTAATTTTATCTCAGTATAACACAGCTGTTCTGTGAAGCCCTCAGAGGTTTGTTAGAGAACATTAGAGAACAAACCGCATCTATAAGGCCAAGGAACACACCAGACAGGTTGGGGATTAAGTTGCAGAGATGTTTAAAGCAGGTTTAGGTTTTAAAAAAAAAAAAAATCTCAAGCGTTGAACATCTCACGGAGCACTGATCAATCTATCATCTGAAAATGGAAAGAGTATGGCACAACTGCAAACCTACCAAGACATGGCCGTCCACCTAAACTGACAGGCCAGGCAAGGAGAGCATTAATAAGAAAACCGCCAAGAGGCCCATGGTAACTCTGGAGGAGCTGCAGAGATCCACAGCTCAGGTGGGAGAATCTGTCCACAGGACAACTATTAGTCATGCACTCCACAAATCTGGCCTTTATGGAAGAGTGGCAAGAAAAAAGTAATTGTTGAAAGAAAGCCATAAGAAATCCTGTTTGCAGTTTGCAAGAAGCCATGTGGGGGACACAGCAAACATGTGGAAGAAGGAGCTCTGGTCAGATGAGACCAAAATTAAACTTTTTGGCCTAAATGCAAAACGCTATGTGTGGAGGAAAACTAACACTGTACATCACACTGAACACACCATCCCCACTGTGAAACATGGCGGTGGCAGCATCATGTTATGGGGATGCTTTTCTTCAGCAGGGACATGGAAGCTGCTCAGACTTGATGGGAAGATGGATGGAGCCAAATACAGGGCAATCTTAGAAGAAAACCTGTTAGAATATGCAAAGGACTTGAGACTGGGGCAGAGGTTCACCTTCCAGCAGATCACCGACCCTAAACATACAGCCAGAACTACAATAGAATGGTTTAGATCAAAGCATATTCACGTGTTAGAATGGCCCATCAAATTCCAGACCTAAATCCAAATGAGAATCTGTGGCAAGACTTGAAAATTGCTGTTCAGACTCCAATCTGACAGAGCCTGAGCTATTTTACAAACAAGAATGGGCAAAATTTTCAATCTCTAGATGTGCAAAGCTGGTAGAGAAATCCCCAAAAAGACTTGCAGCTGTAATTGCAGCGAAATGTGCTTCTACAACAAAGTATTGACTCCCGGGGGCTGAATACAAATGCACGCCACACTTTTCACATATTTATTTGTAAAAAATGTTTAAAACCATTTATCATTTTCCTTCTACTTCACAATTATGTGCCACTTTGTGTTGGTCTATCACATAAAATCCAAATGAAATACACTTACGTTTTTGGTTGTAACATGACAAAATGTGGAAAATTTCAAGGGCTATGAATACTTTTTCAATGCACTGTATGCAAGCCAGCTGTGAGCTACTGGAAGTAGTTTTCTGCCTCTTAGTCAAAATGCTCCTTAAACGTGTAGCAGTGTTAAGCTGGTCATAGGCGGATCAAAATTTGTCTCATTTAACAGGGACTGGGTGAATTTTGATCTGTGTGTGGCCATTCCCTTTCGACAGAAGTTGATCATTAGATTGACTTCTGAGAACCACACAAGCTGAAAAAACTGTAGATTAGCAGCTGCAGCAGCCCGCTGACTGAATGGGGGGAAAAAAACCAAACCATCTATGCCAGCTTTAGTGAGTTGTAGACTTGCCGACTTGCCCTCATATGTACTACCTACAGCAGTTCCTGAGAACGTATTTTCAGTTTTTATTAATGGGTTTCTCTTAAACTTCACATACTAATATAATTGATTGGAGATCTTTAGGCATTGTTTTGTCTAATAATTGACATGTACGTAGAGCTGTATGGCCAAACGTTCGTGGACAATTCTTACCCAGACTACAAGAATATGAGACTCATACCTACTATATGTGGACACCCCTCCACATTATACAGTTCATGTATTTCCAGCATACAAAGACTTTTTAGATAATTATGTGCATTCATGCTTGTGACAATGGTTTGGGAAAGGCCCCTATTCGTTCTAGTTTGACTGTTTACAATGCCAGCTGCAAAAGAACATGGTTTGATATCTTTCTGAAGTAGAGGAACGTGAGTGGCCTGCACAGAGCCCTGACCTCAACCCAACTGAACACCTTTGGGATAAACTGGAACATTGACTGCCAGCCATGTCTTCTCATTTAACATTGTTACATGACCCTTACAAAAACTCTTTTGGCTGAATGTATGCACATCTCTATATACTCTCCAAAATCTCTCGAAAGACTTCCCAGATGAGCAGAGGCTGTTCTAGCTGCAAAGTAGGGCTAACTCCATGCTATCGTCCATGGTTTAGGAATGGGATATCCAACAAGCCCATGTAGATGTACTGTAATGGTCAGGTAACCTAAAACATTTGGCTATAGGTATGCAATAAATTGACCCACTATAAGATATAGTAAAACCTGCCCCTGACCACTTCTTGACACTGCCTGTGTTTGGAGTCAAATCTCTTCTCTAGTGCTTATTCTGTTGCCGACCTGCAGATCTCTCAGCTATTCAGGATTGCAGGTGCAGGAGGTGCAAGTACACAAACATACTGTTGCACAAACTTTGCTGAGGGGCAGCCTAATTTGCAACTAATTTTGTTACAAATTTCCCTCTGTATTTTTTTAATCTTACAGTTGTTGCACGATGCTCTGAAGGAGATCCTGGCAGTAAAAGAGCTAAAGGAGAATGCCTTAACAGTCCATCTGAATGGTATGGAAAAGATGTGAAGGTGACCATAAGGCACAAGCTACATGTTGCAATGATGTAAGTTTTTTTTTTATAATGCAAACTGTTTTTTTTGTTTTTTTGTTTTAGGTTTGCTGCAAACAAACGACAAGGTTGCTTTGAAAGAGATTACTAGGCAATTACATTTGGAGAATGTGGTTGGGGATAGAGTATTTGTAAGTACATTTTCTTCATCATGGTGGCTTTTGTATCGGGTTTATAGAATTTTACTTATCTATTTATTGAAACTACATTCATTTGACATAAAGTTATTGATATCACCCATTTAGAGAGCCTGTAAACCTCCGTCATTGTTTTTGTACATTTTGATGTATACGGTATGTTGTGACATTGGGGGGGTGGGCACACTTTTCAACTGGAGAAAGAGAGGCTTAATCCCCACATATAGAGAGAGCTGTGTCAATGTGGAATAGCCTTCCACTGAATCTCATTCTATCCAACTCAGTAGATTGCTTCTGTATAGGGCTGGATGTTTTTTTGCAAGCACAAAATATAACTGGCAATCAATATTTATGAGGGATAATGTTATACAATGTTGATTCAGGGACTGTCTGATGTCTTTTGGAAAGGAATTTTGTTTTGCCCTGCTGGATCCAATCAAGCCACATTTTAAAAATGTTTTTTGACTTTCTTTAGATTGGCTCTAGGTTTAGAATGGACGATGAATAATTTTTTTTTCAGCCTAACTGTATAACTTTCTTAGTCTTGTCCTTTTGCACATATGGGACTCCACATGTGTTCTCTCATGTCATGCAACATATGGCACTTGACAGCACCAAAGCTACTGTGAAATGTATATCACAGCTTCATAAGAATGACACAACATACAAAGAGGACGGCTTTAGAAAAGGAATAAAGCATCTTTTATTAAACTTGAATAAGTATTTTTTTAAGAATAACTTTAAGGCTAGGTTCACTTCTGCTACTCTGCAAGCTGTGTTTTACACAGACATGGTAGCCCATTCATTTGAATGGGCTGCTGTGCCTCCTGGAAACGCAGGTAAAAGGTCCCTGCACCATTTTATTTAAATCTGCCCGCACAGAAACAGCAAGTGCAATGCGACTTTCAGTATGGGCAGCACTGGACTACGCTGCGGTTTCCAGTGGGTGGGGGTGCCATTATAATTAATGGCACCCCCATGCATCTCCTGAGTGGCAGCGTGTTTTTCTGTGTGGGTGGTTGTGGCTGCGGGAATGGGTGCAATCCTGCAGCCGCAATCACCACACAGGTGTGAACCCAGCTGAATTGTGTATCAAAACCAACAAATTGTTTTTTTTTTTTTTTTTGGTGTGTGTTTTTTGGATATAGTGGGAAAGGATTAGAACTCTTGTTGGTTATTACTGCCATTTTGGGCAGGTTTACCCTCACCACCTGTCCTGCTAACAAAACTGATTTCTGCACTGTTTGTCTAAACACCACTGCTGTAATTTTTGTTTATGCGAGATGGATTTACTTTTTAGGCAGATAAAGCGTTAGAGACATATATACATTTTATACCAGGAACCTTTTTCAAATTACTTTCTGCCTTGCACTTCTATCTCCCACCCCAACATCTTTCAAAATTTCAAGAGTCAATCTCCGACTAGCAAACCTGATTTATTGCTTGTGACGGGTAGGATTATGATCACTGAGATTTTTCTGACTGTAAAATTTCAGCAAAGAAGATTGAAGAGACTGGCTTGCTCGACCTGGCCTTCTACAGATTACCATAAAAATACCATAAAAATATTACCACAAATTCTGGCAAATGTCATTTGTTTGGATGTTTAAAGCTGAACATTGGTAAGGCTATGGGCATTCAATTAACCGCCTCCCGCCCAACATATAAGAAAATGATGGGCACCAGGTGGTTCTCTCATTCTGGGAGGACGTCATATGATGTCCTCCCTTTCTAACTGTGCGTGTGCACTCCCGGGGGCGAGCAGCGCGGCGATCGGTGGTGCGCTGTGTCCCTGGGACACAGTGGATCACCGATCAGCGGAAAGAGCCGATGACGTCAGCTCTGTCGTGATCACAGCTGTTTGCATGTAAATAAGGAAATGCCTGTTATTGGCATCCTTCTCACGAGCTGTCATGCTGACAGCTCGTGAGGAGAGGAGAGCCGGTAATCGGCATTACTCAGAGGGGAGATCTACACTGATGATCAGTGCCCTGATGATCAGTGTAGCCCCATCAGTGCCACCTTTCAGTGCCCATCAATGCCACATATCAGTGCCTACCAGTGCACATCAATGCCGCCTATCAGTGCCAGTCAGTGTTGCCTATCCGTGCCATATATGAGTGCTGCCTTTCACTACTCATCAGTGATGCCTATCAATGCCACCTACCAGTGCCCATCACTGCAGCCTCATTAGCGCACATCAGTGAAGGAGAAGAATCACTTTTACAAAATTTTATAACAGAAACTAAGAAAAAAAGTTTTTTTGTTTAAATTCTCAGTTGTTTTTGTTTTGTTTAGCAAAAAATAAAAAACCCAGAGGTGATTAAATACCACCAAATGAAAGCTCTGTCTAAAAAAAAAAAATATAAAAATTTCATATGAGTACAATGTTGCATGTCCGTGCAATTGTCATTCAAAGTGTGAGAGCACTGAAAGCTGAAAATTGGCCTGGGCAGGAAGGGGATAAAAGTGCCCAGTAGGCTAGTGGTTAATAATCTTTAAAAAAAAATATATTGTTACATTAAAAAACCCTCACTGACTTCTCAATCTACGGACACCATGGTGGAATTCATCTTCAGTGTCCACAAGACAAAGCAACAATGTTCAAGTAGGTTGTCTGCACTCTACAGTCCCCCTACATCCTGTGTATCTACTTACTTTAGAGAATAGAAGGATTCAGGGTTGAATGCCTGTTTTAGGCATGAGGTCTGGGAAAAATGAGCACATTTTTTTATTTACCTGTTTCCCTGCTCCCTCCATAGTACTAGACTGGCCTCTCGGCTACCTCTTCTTCTTCTGTTCGTTCTGGCGGTCTCAGGTCCTCTGATGTCATCAGGTTCAATGCAGAGTCTATAGTCCTGTGTTGGACATGAGGACACAGAGGAACAGTACACCCCAGTAACATATGGGAGTAGGGTGCTGGTTTGAGAGCGGAGGATCGAGTAAGTAAATTTACCTTTCTCTGTCCCTTAAACATTTAAAGCAGTATTAAACCCCAAACCAAAAATGTAATGTATTGCAGCTTACCAATCACTAGATGTGGTGGCTGCATTAGTTTACTTTTTAGTCTTGTTTTGCTCTGTTTTCACCTGGTGATCTGGACAGTAACACACCTCCTGTATTAGAGTGCCTCCACTCTGAATGAAGGAGCAACAGAGACATGTTTGGACAGTGGCATTGTTAACCTGGGAGGAGGGGAGTGTTAGAAGTACTAGTAGATTTAGATACACTAACAAATTGAAGATAAAGTGCAGCTAATTCTTTTTAAGCAGTTACAGCAACCGCTTTTAGAATTTTAGAAAATAAAGTAAAAAAAAAACTAAAAAAGAACTCTAATGCAGGCACCACATCTAAGAATTGTTAGGTTGCAGTATAATAAATGTTTTTAAGGGTTTAATATCACTTTAACCCTTGCAGTGTTAAGAATATTTATGGATTTGAATGTCCATGGTTTCTATTCAGCATGTGTTTTTTTTTTTTTTTTTTTATGAATCATTAACGAATGCACTTGCGACAATTGAAAGGAAACTTGAGCTGTTATTGCTTACCCCCATAAACTGGTAGTACTCATTAGCCTTTTCATAACTGTTTTCAGTAGGTTGTATGCATACCGCTACTGTATATTGTCAGGCTTTCCTTCTGCATGAGGTGTGTTTTTTGGGTGGGTGATATTTGTAGAATATTTGCAAGAACTGGCATTTTTATGTCACCAGATATTGCAGGTTTTCAGGCATTTTTTGCTGCTGCATTTCCTTCTGGTTTGTAAAATGTCACATGGAATTTGTAATGCTGCATTTAGAAATAAAAAAAAAAATTGGAAAAACCACCAAAATATTGGAAACCAGACAAAGAACGGAGGACACGTGTTCAAAAGTGAAAAATGTATAATAGTTGAGCAGTAATGTAAGAAAAGCAATGTGGGTAGCACAGTGATATTTTGGTTTTATAATTGGCCCTTTTAGCCTTGGACCAGGTTTGTTGAACAGGGCCAGTAGTTAAAGTATATGCACACCCCCCACCTTGTAAAATAAACCTATTTTTAAAATGAAAGGCAAAACATTTGTGTATGCATATAAAAACATTATTAATGCCCTTTTCCCCTTTTTATCATCACATATTTTGTTTTTTAGCTGCATAAGGAGTTAGAGGAGGAGAAACAGCAGTATGCTGATCTTTTCAGTGAATGGCTGTGTAGGGGTAAGGGGTGGGGGGATGTCAGCATAGGCTGAATCATTGAATTAGCTCCCAGCACAGCCAGAGAACTCACCACATTGTGCTCTCATGCGTAGTGTGGTCAGTTTTTTTTAATAAGAAAAGCAGTGACTGGCAGGAAAGCCAGGGATTTTACACAAAGGAAGCAATACAAAGCAAACAGGATACTTTTTCATACAAGTACATGGTACAGCAGGCACATACAGTTGTGTTCAAAATAATAGCAGTCAGACATCACTAACCTGATCAATCACTGTTTTTGGTAGAAATGATATCTCTACATGGCAAATAATTTACTAGCAGGTGTAGTAGAGTAATAGAAATCCAACAGACCCAACAGTTATGACATGCATGCTGCTGATTCTGTGTAATCGAATCGCTAATTGAAAGGGGCATGTTCAAAATAATAGCAGTGTGGAGTTCTATTAGTGAGGTCATTCATTCTTTGAAAAACAGGTGGCAGCTATTGCCCTTATTTAAGGAAGGAAGGCAGCAAATGTTGTACATGCTGGTTACAGTGCATTTCTCTCTGAAATTCTGAGGAAAATGGGTCATTCCAGACATTGTTCAGAAGAACAGCGTACCTTGATTAAAAAGTTGATTTGGAGAGGGGAAAACATATAAAGAAGTGCAGGAAAATGATAGGCTGCTCAGCTAAAATGATCGCAAATGCTTTAAAATGGCAACCAAAACCTGAAAGATGTGGAAGAAAGCGAAAAACTACTATTCAAATGGATAGAAGAATAGCCAAAATGACAAGGACTCAGCCAACAATTAGCTCCAGGAAGATCAAAGAAGGTCTAAAGTTCCCTGTAAGTACTGTTACAATTAGACGCCTATGTGAAGCCAAGCTATCTGCAAGAAGCCCCGCAAAGTCCCACTGTTGAAAAAAAGACGTGCTGAAGAGGTTACAATTTGCAAAGAGCACATTGGCCTAAAGAAAAATGGCGCAACATTTTGTGGACTGATGAAAGTAAGATTGTTCTTTTTGGGTCTAGTGGCCGGAGACAGTTTGTCAGACGACCCCCAAACACTGAATTCAAGCCACAGTACACTGTGAAGACAGTGAAGCATGGTGTGTGCAAGCATCATGATATGGGGATGTTTCTCATACTACGGTGTTGGGCCTATTTATCGCATACCAGAGATCATGGATCAGTTTGAATACATCAGAATACTTGAAGAGGTCATGCTGCTTTATGCTGAGGAGGAAATGCCCTTGAAATGGGTGTTCCAACAAGACAACGACCCCAAACACACCAGTAAACGTGCAACATCTTGGTTCCAGACCAACAAGATTGACGTTATGGAGTGGCCAGCCCAATCCCCGGATCTTAATCCAATAGAAAACTTGTGGGGTGACATCAAAAATGCAGTTTCTGAGGCAAAACCAAGAAATAGAGAAGAACTGTGGAATGTAGTCCAATCATCCTGGGCTGGAATACCTGTTCACAGGTGCCAGAAGTTGGTTGACTCCATGCAACACAGATGTACAGCAGTTCTCAGAAACAGTGCTTATACAACTAAATATTGATTCAAAGGAAAGCAAAACCTTCAAACATTTTTCAGTTTATATAGTGAATGTTTGAGTTTGTATAGAAAGAATACAAACACTGCTTTTTTTTTTTTTTGAATAGTCTAATATTCACTTTTCTTCAATTTTTTTTAGAGGAAACACAAATTTGATCTATTTTTCTTCATGTTTTGATTTGGAATAGAATGTGTAGTGTTCCCAATGCATTTGTGTGTATGGAAATAAAAGCTATTAGAAGGATTTTGAGCTTTATTCACTTTTTTCAACACACTGCTATTATTTTGAACACAACTGTACAAGGAATAAGAAATGTTGGGATTACATATGCTTTAAAAAGTTTAACTGTTTTTGCATTTTGTATACTTTTTGATATTCATTGGCAGTGTAATGGCTGTTTCTTGATCTGAGGTGTAATACGGTGTCCCTGTAAGTCAACAACCCTACTTCTTTGGCAGTATGGTGCTGAATGGATTCTGTTGGTGCTTCTGTTTTTAGGTAGTTGTTGCGGTCAGTGCCCTGCTCTCTAAATTTGTCCTCAAACTGAAAGTAAAAAAAAATACAACACTGAGTTGTCGGAGCAAGAATAGAGGGGAGACCTCCAATGGAGGGGGGGGGGGGCATAGTTCTGCTGACACCTGTCTAAGGATGGACTTCCTTCACTTTAGAGAGATTTCCCTATATTTCATGCTGCATATCAAAGACCGGAATTGTAGGAAAATATCCCGAATGGGACATAGATGGGGAAAAAACTGATGGATAATAACCATTCTGTACAATATCTAAAACTAAAAAATAGTTTTGGCTTTAGAGATGCATTATTAACATGAATGAACATGGACAAACGTATATGTGAAATATATAAACCGAAGTTGGCTTCACTATAAAATGCCTATGCCAAATCAATCAGATCCAGAAACCTAAACAACTAAAATAGTTTTGTTTTTTTCCAATCTAAATTTCACCCCCCATCATCCCCAACCCCAACCCTTTTTTTGGGGGGCATCAAGACTGCTCAAAACATTACGATGCCAGTAGAAAGGCAGAAGAAAAGTAAAGATCCAGTTGCATAAATGTTACTTGTTTCAGTAATATTCAAATATTTAGCTTACTGGTGTTTAATGGTTTGTATATTGTGCTCAGATTTTAATTTTTTTTTTCACAGGGCAGCTTTTCAGAAAACCTGTCTTTCCTTCTAGAAGCTTTAAAAACAGGTAATCTAGTATCTCTTTGACAGGGAGACTGCTTGTGTGAGTTTGAGCTATTCTAATGCACAGAGCATCTTCCTCTTATTAGAGTAATATCTGATGTCTGATCAAAGAAAAGGTTCAACCCCCCCCCCCCAATCTCAGCAGTGAATAAGTGATGTAGCTGACTTGATGGGGCAGAGCACTGTACACTTGTATACAGTATTGGGCAGTACAGTGTAACTTTAAAATGATTAATTATATTGTGGAAAAAGGTCCACTTCAAAGAGAGTCTTGAGTTCAGTCAGAGAAAGCTCAGTCACACTTGCAGGATCAATGCATGTAAGTAAGATTTTGTTTAACCAATTCCTTGGTCCCTGTGCTAACACGTCTAGGCCAACAGGATTTCCTTATATTGCATGCTTGTTTATAATATTCTTTAAATTGACCAATTAAACTCTTAAAGTGATGGTAAAGTGTTTTTTTTTTTTTTTTTTTTTTTTTTTTTTTTTTTTTTTTTAATAAATACACTTGCCTGTTCTGTGCAATGGTTTTGCACAGAGCAGCTCTGATCCTCCTCTTCTGGGGTCCCCCACTGGTAGTCTGGCTCTGAGTGCCCCCATAGCAAGCCGCTTGCCATGGGGTCACTTGTGCGGACTCGCTTCCGAGCCGCGCTCTGTCGACACACACACAGTGCGACTTTGCCCTGCCCCCGCTCTATTCTCACAGGCTGTGATTGCCAGCAAGCTATACAAAAATATGGCAACCATCCCAATTTATAACTAGCCTTACGGTAAGTAGTAAGGTACACATGGAAGTGCCATGCACATCACAAACCAACAAAAGTTCCCCAGCACACTTACCAGCTAGCCTGCAAACAAGCCAGATTGACCCTGTTTAACAATTCATGTTAAAGTAGAGGGTTTCACTGCACACATTTGAAAATATATGAGGACTGCAGTATACAGAGGAGCCTTGATGTGGACATTGCGGCTTCCACATATATTTGCAAATGTTTGCAGTGAAACACTCTGTTCTAGTGTGATTTGTTTTAATTTGGTTTGTTTTGAGGGGGGGGGGGGGCGGCACAGAAGGTCCCAAGTCGGTAGAATTGTTTTTTTTTTCTCAGAAATTGCAATGGGATTGGGGCAGCTAAACATTCAGTTTAAAGAGGAACTAAATTCCTATTCCTTTGCGGCCATGGACTGCAATTTTTGCCTATATTTAGGTCTGCAGTTGCTATTGTGCAGCACATGTGACCAGCAATGGCACCAGTTATTTTAGAACTTCAAAGTTCATTTCAGAGCTGACTTAAGCACACTGGTAGCTGTGACAGTTATTGCCAGGGGCATGCCTAGAATGTACCTACCCTGAGCATGTCCTAGTAGGTAGAATGTAAATGAAAACGCTGCAGAAAACATCACTGGTGTGTTACTACTATAACATGCTGCGACCCTTGCGCTCTGTGTGCAAAGAGTGGTCCCTCTGCAGACATCCAACATGCTCCCTGCTGAGTCAGATCTAGACTTCTCCAAATCAACAAAGAACACAAACTTTGCCGTTTGCTATAACTTTGCAGGGGGTGTGTCATATCTCTGCAGAGAGACCTCTGCTTCCACACATAAATCAAAGGCCCTTCTTTATTGCATGCTGACAGGGGACAAGCTTTTCTACACTGTGCACTTTGTTCTTATGCAGCTTGCATGTATTTGGCTGATTTAAACTGAAAGTTCAATTGGGCTTTAGTGATTTGCTTTTTTCTTTCTTGCCTTTGAGCTGGCATACCTTTGAACTGGAACTCCAACTTTGCTGGCTCGTGGCCAGTTATATTCATTGCAAGGATTTTAGCAGACATTTAGGGCCTTTTTCACACTTGTCCTTTTTCTGCATGAAAATAGACAGATAGGAAAAGCAGAGAGCCAATCCTACAAGCAGAAAATGAGTTCTGAGTTTAATCAAATAGAGTATAGAATGACCCAAGTGTTGCCATGGAGAGTGACATTTAAATTTTTGCAGCTTTAGAAAATTATTGCTGACTGCAGATTGAAATGGAAATTTTTTTTTTTTTTTTTTTAATAGAACATTACATTGAAAGAAGGCTTGTTTAGCATTTTTTTTATAGTTATATAGAATTTTATTTTGTGTAAGAGATCTTTTCTTTAAGTTATTGCAAGGTAACTGGTGGGAAACGTTCTAACAATAGGATCCTGTATTCAGGTGACCGCACCAGTAGCTGTCCTGTCCTCTTTATCCTGGATGAGTTTGATCTGTTTGCTCACCATAAGAACCAGACGTTGCTGTATAATCTTTTTGATATCGCACAATCAGCCCAGACTCCAATCACAGTCATCGGACTCACTTGTCGGTTGGTGAGTATGTTTTCGGTTCTTGAATGCCTCTGCTTTCACTAAACCTTTGAACCTCCATGTTGTATTAACTGTGCTACAATAATATCTTATCCAAAGTGAAAAACACTTGTCAAACTATTTTTTTTTTTTTTCCTGCCAGCCATTGCAGCAGCAAGCCTTTCATGTCACTGTGGCCTTCTGACATGCAGTACTGTCTTTTGCAAGTCAGAGGCTTTTATTTATGGAGACAGAACAAGGGATTTGACCCATAACTATCAATCAGAAATCCAATTATTATTGATATGGATTATTATACAGCACTGTATAAGGAAAGGGAGAAAACCTTTACACCCTTAGTTGTGTACACTGGTTGGTTATTTAGCAGACTATTATACAACTATATTACATTGCAATTTGCATCAGTATGTTAGTTCATGGATATCTTAAAGGAGATTTAAGGGCTTTTTACCAACCTACATACTCGCCTCCTTGCTGCAGCAGCTGCATGAAACTGAAGCTGTCTCGCGCTGACTCTAAATTCGAGAACTACGCAATCACGACCACTGATCGTTCAGCTTCCGGTCTGTTTCAAGCAGAGAGCAGGGAGTCGGTCACTAGCCCTAGCCCATTAACTGACTCTGGGTCACAGGAAAACAAAAATGTACTTTTGTGACCCACAAGAGAAGTAGGAGAGATTATAATGTTGCTTGAGTTACCAAAAAAGGGGTTGAGATCTTTTACATATTGGGGAACTTTAAAAGGGAAGTATTGCCAAAGCTTTTTAGGCTATGTTTCTCTTGTGGGTCACAGGAGTACATTTACTTTTGTTCTCCCGCGACCCATAGTGCTATATCTGTATTATCATAAATGCTAGAATCTGTTGAGCAGAGCAGCCTACCCTATTGGGTAAGGAATGCTGCAGCATGGCTGGTCCTTTTGCTGTTTGTTATATTTGCCAGGCAGGGTGCAGGGTTTGGTAGAAGGAGGAGGGAAACAAATCTCCGAAATTTAGGTAACAATTTTTGACAAACATGTCATACTTACCTGCTCTGTGTAGTAGAATTGCACAGAGCGGACCTGAACCGTCCTCTTCTGTGGTCCCCCGATGGAACTCTGCTCTTCCACATCTGACTGTCCACATAACACACCAATGCTGCTCTCAGCCAAACCTGTGAGAGAGGGGAGAAAAGCTGCTGGATTGAGGATTAAGTGTTTAACCTCCTTGGCGGTATTCCCGAGTGTAGCTCGGGGTAAAGTTTCAGTACCAAAAGCGGTAACCCCGAACTACACTCGGGCTTACCATGCGGTGTTGCACAGGGATTCCCTACAGCGCTTACTTTGTCCTTTGCTCCTGTGATGTGTCCCCTGCAGCGTCCCCGGCCATCTCCTCTGGCCGATGCCGGCATCTGGCTTCCGTGTTCGGTCCCTGTGACGTCGGGACGTATGGCGGCAAATTTGAAAATTTAAAAAAAATGAAATTTTTTTTAAAACAATTATTTCATAGCAAAACATTCCTGTATCAAAGCATTTCACATATATTTTGTCCCTACTGCTTTGTCCTGCGCCCTGCCTGCATTTTGACTGTTCTTTCTGCCTGGAAACTTAAAGTCCACGGTGTCCAAAAAGCGTCCCTTTAGGTCAAAAGTGGTTTTAGACCAGCTAGAGAACAGCGATAGTAAATCAGAACCACTTGCAGAATTGAGTGATAATGATTCGTGGGAAATTCGTCATCAGACACTGAAAACGATTTTGCAACTTTGCTCAGTGATTTGCGAAGTTGGCGCTCTATTTCAAATTTCAGTGTTTTTGGTTTGATTATATTATTGAATTAAATTTATTATTACTATATTATTATTTTTTATGAGTATTTATTAAGTAAGTAATTACTAAGAATTGCAGGCCTACAATACATAACACCAAATTTCCATGCAAAAAAATGGTACCGCTTTTGGTACAATATTCCTGACATAATCATACCGCCAGGGAGTTTAAAGCAGAACTTCACCCTTATTGTGAAGTTCCCTCCTCTCACCTTTCCACCCCTCCTACCCACGTGAAGTGAAATTTTTTTTGTTTACTTTTTTTTTCTTAACCACTTGCCCACCGCCCACAGTACTTGTACTGTGTATAGGTGGCAGCTACAGGTAGAGCGACATACTGGTACGTCGCTCTGGCTGTGCTACCACAGGGGAGGCAACGCATGCCCGCTCAGACGGACACAGCGTAATGTGGATCCCGGTAATCAGGACTGGGGATCATGTGATCGCTATGCAATCACTTGACTACGTTGTTAACAAAGCGGTTATGAATCAGTTTGATTCTTAACAGCTTTGCTTCTTTTCCTGATGAACTGCCATTAGTCCATAGCACTCACGTGGTACATAGGCCAATCCCAGCACCCTGTACTATGGGATTAGCTGTAGCCAATCACAGATCACTAGTGTTTTGAACTGTCATGAACTTAACCCATTCATGACGGTTCAAAGCAAGCATTGCATGAGCAATAATCTTCATTGCTCCAGCAATGCAAAGTGTAAAAAAAAAAAAAAAAATCCCTGATCACCCTCCAAGTAGTATAATGTTACTATGGTAATGATGATAGTATTATTTATTTATTTTAATTGTTTAAAAAAAAAATGAAAAATGTTTAAAAAAAAAAAAAACTTTAAAAACTTTTTAATAAAAAAAAAAAAAATTCTCAATATTTTATTTAACTACTTACCAATCACTGCCTACAATCTGCGGGCAAGCAATGGCTTTGGGCAAAGCGGCATACCCTTACGTTGCTTTCTTCTTCCGAGTGTGTCCCGTCAGGCCAGGGAGAGATGAGAGAACATCACACTGTGAGTAAAAGCACTACATTTTACACACACATGTTAGATTGGCACATTTAACCCTTTGATCACCCCAGCCATTTTGGTCTCTGATCAGCTTTATGGTCAGCCGGCAGCACCGCCAGCTGCATTCTCGGGTTCCTGGTGGGACAGGAGAACCCAAGAAAACCGTGGAAGGCGGCAGGAGGGAGGCCCCACCACCACCACATTCCACGTTTTTTGGGGTTCTCCTGTTCCACCAGGGAACCCGAGAATGCAGCCGGCAAATCTGCCGGCTGACCATAAAGGTGATCAGAGACTGAAATGGCTCCAATCATCTCTACGATCTAAGAAACTGTAAGCAACAAGCATTTCATAATTAGTTTTACCGGATGTAAACAGCGACATTTTTACATTTGGTAAAGCATCTGATCACACTGATCTTGGTGTGATCTGATGCTTTAACATCAGAGAAGAGATCTAGAGTCTAATAAACCCCATATTTCTCAGAAATCCTACCTGTCACTCCCTATTGCTATCACAGGGGATATTTACATTCCCTGTGATTAACAATAAAAGTGCTAAAAAAAAAAAATTAAAGGGACAGTGTAAAAATAAGCAAAATAAATCATAAAAAAAAATCAGCCAAATCCCCACTTCCCCGTGCTCGCATGCAAAGGCAAATGCAAGTGTCTGTTTCTTGTCGGTATGTAAATAGTTTGCAGCATGCATGTGAGGGATCGCCGTAAATGTCAGATCGAGGTCAGTAATTATAGAGGAGGTGCTGTTGAAAGTTGTTTTACCTTAATGCACAGAATGCATTAAGGTGAAAACCTTTTTTGTCTTTAGAAGCACTTTAACTTGCTTATGCTTCAAGCCTCATTAAATCGATAGGAAGGTATATTATATTTTTTCACTTTGCCTATTTTAAGCTTTTTTCCCCTCATTTCTTAAGTTGCTTCCTGGTATGTTCTAAGCTAACTTGATGTCCTATATCCGAGGAGTCTTCGTGGTCATTTTTTTTTCCCTTCCATCTGGAGAAGGGGCTTTCCCAGCTAAGCACCCCTGCATGCCTGAGCTAAGGGCAGATGGATCTCAGAACGTTAATGCTACATGAATCATCTACCCTTACTCAAGATAGTCCCAGCTAGAAATGCTTAGGGGATTTGTTTATATTTGAGCACTACAAGCTAAAAATGCTTTTATGTTTGTAATATTCAAAGCAGTTAAGTGCTGCTTTAAAGGAGTTTTCAGGCATGGAAATCTTGCCGACATACTGGTGGTGCTTCAGGACGAAAGTCTCCCTGTCTATCATTGAGAAGCAGCTTCAATATTATTTTGGCCAGCTGGCATCTGCACATTGGTACTATTCCACTTATTGGAGGTGGAAAATCCCATTGGCATTGATTTTGATGTTCTAGATCTCTTCTTTGTTGTATTATCTACCTGACTTTCCTGGTTTCCCTCATGTTCATCGGTTTAGCAACCTTCTCTGTTACAGGATGTCATGGAGCTTCTGGAAAAAAGGGTCAAATCTCGCTTCTCCCACAGACAAATCCATCTGTTGAACTCATTCAGCTTCTCTGAATACCGGGATATGTTTAAGGAGCTTCTTTCTCTACCTTCTGGATTTCCAGATATGACCTTTGCTGAGCAATGGAGTGCAAATATTCAGGTAATAGAGTTAACACAGGTGGGCACAGTCATTACCATAGATTATGGTATTCATATTGTATTTCAGAACTCCACTCATTGGTAATCTCCTCCTTTTGTTCCCTACAGGATCTCACAGCAGTGAGTACACCCCTCATAGCACTGTTATACAAGCTGGACACTGACTACCTCACATTGTAGCAACGTGTCATTTCTTCAGTGTTGTCACATGAAAAGATAGCATAAAATATTTACAAACATGTGAGGTGTGTACTCACTTCTGGAGATACTGTATATTACCATATTGTACTCTATGGCTATTTGCAGTATTTAGAGAATGGCAGCATATTTCACAGCTTTTACTGAGTATATTTTAAAGTCCAAATAAAACTTTCATTTTAAATAGGCTAAATGTATTATTCCAAGTACAGGAAACTGAAAAGCCTGTGTCCAGGCAGCATGCTGCTGACTAGGACCCTTGCTGTCTCTGGGGAACAAGTGATATCCTTGTAGAGTTCTGATATTCCTGCTGAATCTGAGCCACAGTTCTCTAATCAGTAGGCAGCACAAGTTTTTATAGATCTGACTCAGTAGGGGGTGAGTCGAACCTCTGTAATGAGGCCACTGCTTCCACACTGAGAGCAGGGTTCCACTCTGCAGCCGCTGGCAGGGGAAATGCTTTTCTACTCTGAATGTGGCTGCTTAAAAAGAAAGCCAACTTTTGTTTTGATGCACCTGATGTGTTTAGCTGATCTAAAGGTTCAGTTGAGTTTTAACCTTCTTTTGCTTCAGAAGAGCTTATCTATCCACACGAGCGCACATTATATCTAGCACCATGGACACAGCAGCATATACTATATCCAGAGCTGTGATACAAGGACTGTTTTAATGTGCCCCCTTCCAGCCATTGTTCATCAACTGTCTTAATGAGCTTCTTTAATGTATATTAATCCTTTACTGTGGCTCTTAGATTATATGTAAATTAAGCATTTACTGGGCAGTTTTCAATACATTTATATACTCTGCTTGGCTGTACAGTGCGTGGTGAAAATGTATTTGCCTCCCTTCCTGATATACAGTCAGGTCCATAAATATTGGGACATCGACACAATTCTAACATTTTTAGCTCTATACACCACCACAATGGATTTGAAATGAAACAAACAAGATGTGCTTCAACTGCAGACAGTCAGCTTTAATTTGAGGGTATTTACATCCAAATCAGGTGAACTGTGTAGGAATTACAACAGTTTGCATATGTGCCTCCCACTTGTTAAGGGACCAAAAGTAATGGGACAGAATAATAATCATAAATCAAACTTTCACTTTTTAATACTTGGTTGCAAATCCTTTGTAGTCAATTACAGCCTGAAGTCTGGAACGCATAGACATCACAGACGCTGGGTTTCATCCCTGGTGATGCTCTGCCAGGCCTCTACTGCAACTGTCTTCAGTTCCTGCTTGTTCTTGGGGCATTTTCCCTTCAGTTTTGTCTTCAGCAAGTGAAATGCATGCTCAATCGGATTCAGGTCAGGTGATTGACTTGGTCATTGCATAACATTCCACTTCTTTCCCTTAAAAAACTCTTTGGCAGCTTTTGCAGTATGCTTTGGGTCATTGTCCATCTGCACTGTGAAGCGGCGTCCAATGAGTTGTGAAGCATTTGGCTGAATATGAGCAGATAATATTGCCCGAAACACTTCAGAATTCATCCTGCTGCTTTTGTCAGCAGTCACATAATCAATAAATACAAGAGAACCAGTTCCATTGGCAGCCATATATGCCCACGCCATGACACTACCACCACCATGCTTCACTGATGAGGTGGTATGCTTAGGATCATGAGCAGTTCCTTTCCTTCTCCATACTCTTCTCTTCCCATCACTGTGGTACAAGTTGATCTTGGTCTCATCTGTCCATAGGATGTTGTTCCAGAATTGTGAAGGTTTTTTTAGATGTCGTTTGGCAAACTCAAATCTGGCCTTCCTGTTTTTGAGGCTCACCAATGGTTTACATCTTGTGGTGAACCCTCTGTATTCACTCTGGTGAAGTCTTCTCTTGATTGTTGACTTTGACACACATACACCTACCTCCTGGAGAGTGTTCTTGATCTGGTCAACTGTTGTGAAGGGTGTTTTCTTCACCAGGGAAAGAATTCTTCGGTCATCCACCACAGTTGTTTTCCGTGGTCTTCCGGGTCTTTTGGTGTTGCTGAGCTCACTGGTGCGTTCCTTCTTTTTAAGAATGTTCCAAACAGTTGTTTTAGCCACGCCTAATGTTTTTGCTATCTCTCTGATGGGTTTGTTTTGTTTTTTTCAGCCTAATGATGGCTTGCTTCACTGATAGTGACAGCTCTTTGGATCTCATCTTGAGAGTTGACAGCAACAGATTCCAATTGCAAATAGCACACTTGAAATGAACTCTGGACCTTTTATCTGCTCATTGTAATTGGGCTAATGAGGGAATAACACACACCTGGCCATGGAACAGCTGAGAAGCCAATTGTCCCATTACTTTTGGTCCCTTAACAAGTGGGAGGCACATATGCAAACTGTTGTAATTCCTACACTGTTCACCTGATTTGGATGTAAATACCCTCAAATGAAAGCTGACAGTCTGCAGTTAAAGCACATCTAGTTTGTTTCATTTCAAATCCATTGTGGTGGTGTATAGAGCCAAAAATGTTAGAATTGTGTCAATGTCCCAATATTTATGGACCTGACTGTAGATAGATATAGAGATAGAGATACACACAGGTCCATATATATTTAGACACAGGCACAATTTTCATACTTTTGGCTCTGTATGCCACCAGAATAAATTAAAACAAAAACAATCCAAATTAATTTGAAGTGCAGACTTTCAGTTTTAATTCAAGATGTTGAACATAAATATCATGTACAAATTTTAGGAACTGCAACCATTTTTATACACAGACCCTCCATTTTCAGGAGCTCAGATATAATTCGACAAATGAATATAACCTAAAATGTTAATATTTTGTTGAGAGTCCTTTACTGGCAATGACTGCCTGAACAAAAAAATAAAATATAAATGAGTGCTCTGTACAACAAACCTATCTAAAACAAGAACTAAGCACAAAATACCAAAAACAGACCATAAATGTGCATTTACAAAATGTGCAAATAAAATGCATCTAAAGTGCTTAATAGTCCATGTGCATGATCTAAATTATCAAAAAGTCCCAAATCCAATGTGAAAGTGCTGTGTGCTGAAAAAAATCCAATCCAACAAAGTGCTATGGTGTCCGTAAGTGCTCGCCACAACAGACAGATCAGCCTTTTACCAGACACATTGATCTCCAATCAAGAGATCAAATGAGCAGACGGTGTTCAGATTCCACACTGACACCCATGCTAGCAATATCCAAGGAGATGGATGGACGGCTGTGGGCTCACCCAAACAAATTTTCTTACATCGAACCACTCTCCATACAATGTAAAGAGGGATTAAAACAGAAAAGACTTCATAGTGCAACCCGATAAAACTCAAAATTTTATTCAGTAAAATATTGCACTTACATAGATAAGGTGCATAAAGGTAGTATACAAATTCAAAATTCCCGCGGTGTCATACCACCGGTCGGAACATGGTGATGTCACAGAAGACTCCAGAGTCCTATATGACATCACCATGTTCCAGCCGGTGGTACGGCACCGTGGAAATTTTTAATGCATCATTTGCAATTTGTATTTAATTGGGTTATCTTTGTGTAAATATTAAAAGTTGTTTTATGATCTGAATCTTTTAATTGTGACATATGCAAAAAAAAAAATCAGGAAAGGGCCAGATACTTCTTTTTCACAGCACTGTATGTGCTGGACTGTTAAATATATATTCTGCACCACTTGACCGTACAGCCCTATCCAGAAGTTTTGAGAATTACACAAATATTAATTTTCACAAAGTCTGCTGCTTCATTGTTTTCAGATCTTTTTGTCAGATGTTACTACAGTATAATTACAATCATTTCATAATTGTCAAAGGCTTTTATTGACAACTACATTAAGTTTATACAAAAAGTCATTATTTGCAGTGTTGACCCTTCTTTTCAAGACCCTGCAATTCGCCCTGGCATGTTCTCAATCAACTTCTGGGGCACATCCTTACTGATGGCAGCCCATTCTTGCATAATCAATGCTTGGAGTTTGTCAGAATTTGTGGGTATTTTTGTTATTTTTTTGTTCACCCTCCTCTTGAAGATTGGCCAGTTCTTAATGGGAGTAAGGTCTGGGGAGTTTGCTGACCTTGGACCCAAAATTTCAATGTTTTGTTTTCCAAGCCACTTAGGGGTTTATTTACTAAAGCTGGAGAGTGCAAAATCAGACTCACTTCTGCATAGAAACCAATCAGCTTCCAGGTTTCATTGCCAAAGCTTCATTGAACAAGCTGAGGTTAGAAGCTGATTGGTTTCTGTGCAGAAGGGAGTCTGCTTTTGGACTCTCCAGCTTTAGTAAATAAACCCCTTAGTGTCACTTTTGCCTTATGGCAAGGTCCTCCATCATGCTGGAAAAGGCATTGTTTGTCACCAAACTGTTCTTGGTTGGTCAGGACAAGTTGCTTTTGGAGGATGTTTTTGTACCATTCTTTATTCATGGCTGTGTTCTTAGGCAAAATTTGAGATGAGACGCAAACCCACACATGAATGGTCTCAGGATGCCTTACTGTTGGCATGACACGGGACTGATGGTAGCGTTCACCTTTTCTTCTCCAGACAAGGTTTTTTCTGGTTTCTCCAAACAATTGGAAAGGGGATTCATCAGAAAAAATGACTTTACCCCAGTCCTCAGCAGTCCAATCCCTGTACCTTTTGCAGAATATCAGTCTGTCCCTGATGATGTTTTTCCTGGAGAGATGTGACTTCTTTGCTGCCCTTCTTGACACCAGGACATCCTCCAAATGTCTTCGCCTCACTTTGCATGTAGATGCACTCACACCCGCCTGTTGCCGTTCTTGAACAAGCTCTGTACTGGTGGTGCCCAGATCACACCGATGAATCAA